CTGGCATGCCTAGAAAAATGTAAGAATCGTGTCTGTAAAATTTCATTATTTTTTGACATCATTTTTATTTTATTATATTTTTTAAAGGCAAAAAGTAAAGAAAATCCTAAAAAATAGAATATTCATGAAAAAATGGTGACGCTTGTTGCCTTAATTCCTAAAAATCATATATTAATTTTAGAATGCAAAACGTAAATAAAAATGTAAATTTTTTACCCATCCCGGCCCCTGGGCTGGCCCGTGGGCGCCCCACTACGCGGGCCGTGTGATTTTTGATAACGTTTTCTATTTTTTTATTATTTTTTGAGGCCATTTTTTTCTTGCATGCCTAGAAAAATGTAAAGATCAAGTTTGAAAATTTCATTATTTTTTGACTTCATTTTTATTTTATTATATTTTTTATGATGATCAATGGACGGCGATCGTACCAAGTTGTTCAATTTGGAAGGGTGAAATGGGACGAGAAATCGACATTATTCACTAGTATATGTTGAGAGGTAGAAGTTATTCATTTTTTTATTTGATAACTTCATTAGTATCAACCGATAATTCGCTACTTTCAGTCAATTTAGTAAAAATTGTATGTTCTATATACTTCTTTAATCTATATAATTTTAATTAAATTTAATAATTAGAAATTAACAATACCCAAAAAAAAAAAAAACCATCAGAAAGTCCCTTTTTTCCAGCTTTATATGCTTTCCTGAGATAGCGTGAGTCTTTTAAATAACACATTAGTTTTATAGTTACCAAGAGAACTCCTGGTTTAAACAAATATCTATTTATCTACTTGTTGTTAACACTTTTTTCCCCTTTAAAGATTAAACAAAAAGAAAAAAAAATTGTTGATTTAATTGCATAAGTCAACGATTTAACATATTATTATAGGTCTTCAAAACACAAATTTTACTATCGAGTTAAGGAATTAAAGTAAACCACTAGCTTAATTATAACTTAACCAATGATTAATAATAATAATAATACGTAAACAAAATCAATAATAAATCAACCAAAATACAAAGAACGAAGAAAAACAAAAGCTCAAAATTTTCTACACAGAAATTCAAATGGAGGAAGCCGGGAAGGGAATGAAAATCAATAATACACGTACCAGCACCACCAAATGCAGAGGCTCGGATTATAAAAGGGCAAAAAAAAAATTGAACAAAATGAAAAAGCCGCCTGTACAGTACAAAATTGGTTCTTCTGGGGCTGAGATATTATGAGAGAATATACAAATCCATCACGGATCACAACCAGGCACCCCATCCAGGAAACATTTGACAGAGACGCTCAGGATCAATAGCATCTTGTATTAGTTGTTGCACCTGCAAGAAAATTTTCATATTATTTTATTTGAGAAAATTAATTGATTTTGGCCACCCCTTTTAAATTAATGGTTTAACTTTTTTTTTTTTTTTTTTTTTTTTTTTTTTTTTTTTTTTTTTTACAGTAATAATCATGGTCATTTCCCTAATTTTATAAAACTTGGTTGTTTACTAAAAAGTAGCTAAAAAGGCCACTTTCACATATACCTTTTTATTTATTCATTTGATGGATATGCCTTTTTATTTTTTACTTGCGTCAAATATTGAAAAAGGGTAATAAATCTTCTTTTTTTTAAAAAAAAAACAAAACAAAAGAAAAGAAAGGAATGGAGAAGCTAACAGTTCTGTCATGTTTTACTGAGGGGCAAACCGTCCAAAGGTCACCATCTCATAGGAGGATTAAATAGCAACAATACCACAAGGAAAACACGCGCCAAAAGAGAAAAAAGAAACCAAAACTAAAGTGGGTTTTCATACATTTTATTCAACCATAACAAAAAATAAGGCCCCGTTCACTTCACCGATTCGAGTTTAGAATTTGAGTTTTGTTACAGTAAAAAGCTCTCAGAAACAATCATATCTAACTTTTTTACTACAGTAAAAAGCTCTCACATAAAGTCACATATCAACTTAAATTAAAAACTCGAATCAGCGAATTAAATGAGCCCTAATAGTATTTTAACAAGCCACAAGACAATGGAGGAGGAAAGTCACCTGGCCATGCACGCTTCGCATTTCACCTTCTTCATAGCCATCCAGTTTCTGTTTGACTCGCATTAGCGCGCGTGCCGCGTCCTTGTTCCCTTCATAATCGTCTTGCGAGTCTTCCGAGCTTGTCTCGGGATCATCCTCCGTTTCCTTGTAAAGGATAAAACTCATTTAGCATAGGCAATTGATGGTTGGTACATTCTATTGCATTATTGCCTAGTCAAATTCGACCGAATAGGTCAGACAGATTTCTACACCACTCCACCTATCAATTTTCGATTATGTTAATCTTGTGGGGAGGGGAACCACAGGGAAAAATTGTTGGTTAAAAACTTATCCGCTTGTATTTCCTTTTCTCTTGAAATATGATTGCATGATTTTAAGTAGTCGTTTTGTTGAAATTTCTTTGCCATGACAAATTTGTAAAATTAATACACACCCCCCACCTTTCTCTACTTGGGGACGCACCATTGGCGTGATAGATTCAGATTACACGTGTATACTTGTATATCTAGAGAAAACTTGGCGAAAAAGAAAAACCTTTTGACGCTGCAAAGCCTTCAGAGGAGATAAAGCCCACTTGTACAACGGATCATGTATAAAAACCTACACAGGATTCCCATTAGATAAAAAAAAAAAAAGAAACGGTCTTAATTTTTGTTAATGTAATTCCATTGGGTAACATACTTCAACAATGGTGAGAAGTGCTTCCTCATTTGTCCTCATGACAGAGAGTGTTTCCTCGCAACATCTTCTGAAAACTCCTTCCACGCCGGTAACACCCATGCCATCAATGATATCTCTTGTACGCCTGAACGGAACCTGAAAAAATTGGAGGATAAGATGACCAAGTGAGCCAAGTTAAACTGGAAAAGCCCAATGCTTAAAAGAATAAAAGCTATCAAAAAGGGAACAAAGAAATGATAAAATAAGTACAAACCCGCTCTGGTGTCTTGAGCATCAAGCCTTGTTCAAAGGCAACACCAAGATCTATGTGAACAACTTCTGCCGTGGCTTGATCAATTAAGATATTCATAGAATGCCGATCTCCAAGTCCAACAATATAACCACCCTGAATTTCAGAAAAATTGCATCAGGATAATTTACATATGAAAACTATAGAGTCATCCTTTGATCTATTGCATTGCCATTGAAAAGAGTGCTGTTTTGAGACGGCAGGATGTGAAATTAAGGTAAAAGTGCAACAGGGATTTGTTATGTAGAAGAAAAAAAGGGGAAAAATAAAGTCGATTTTGGCCCAAGACCACCTCATTTGAGCCGAACACTACGTTTGTTGGAGATGGCTTACTTTTATGAATAACGCTTTCTAGTAGTCTTTGTTTTGACAACCCTAACAGAACCATTAGCAAGCACCTTGAACAGAAAAACAAGATTACCTCTAGTTATATGCATCCATTTATTTTACCGCAACATATACATGCATTCTTTAGGACAATGCAGTCATACGCAAGGAAACAACTTTAAACAAAAAATTACAGCATGTGCCAGATGATGGCTGTTAGATACCAAAAGTCCCGTATGAAATGATTATAAGACAAATAGTGAGTTTATTAAACCCTTGGGTTCCCTCCCCTTGCAAGTCGGTTTTGCAAGGGTGAGTTCCAATTAATGGGTTTTGTAAAAAGTGGTATCAGACCCAAGCCACCACGCCGGGGGTTCGAGTCGAAGCAGTTGCATTATAGACTGAATCAAGATGCATCGGTGAGGCCGTCAAAGCGTCGAATAATGATAGTCCAGTGAAGCTGCCGGCGAGAAAAGGGCTACCGCCGAGTTAGTGTCGATAATGTGGACTGCCATTAATTTGGGCCCAGGCATGGTGGAATGTTACAAAGCAACCATGTCAAGTATGGGATGGACGTAGTATGGGTTGCGGTTATGTAGCTGTTGCCTACAGATAGTGCAACCTAAGAAGGGCTGCTACCCGATAGAAGGCGGGATCCACGAAGCCACCTAGCTGGGAAGATGGGCTGTCGTGGATGGCGGTTGCGGAACATGGTGGAATGTTCATGGAATGATTATAAGACAAATAGTGGGTTGCAATTTTTGCAAGGGTGAGTTCTACCTAATAGGTTTGTAACAATAGCCATGCATGCTTAAGTCTCACGTTAAAAGAAAACATTCAAAACATTCTAGTCCAACGTCTCATAAATAATATAAAACACCGACCATTGAACTAGCGGCCACGTTTCGTGTGTATGCAAGCCTCTTTTTAAACCAGTCGGCTGGTTGTAAAAACCTCTCCAAGAAAAAGTGATGCATGACAGGCCTGTATAAGGTCCGTGTTATTTTATATTTCAAAGAATAGATTTTGGAAACTAGAATTTGCTACACTGAGAAGCAAGATAAACCTGAATTTCTCACAAACTTGATGAAAAGCCTTGCGCTTGTCTTTTGCCTGTCGAAACATAAAAGCAAATACCAGTTGGTTCTTCTCCAGATTAATACCAAGTGTTTGGAGTGATTATATATACAGATGCAAAATAATCTAAATATCTCAACTTCTATACCATGTATAGATCTATACCAAGTCGATAAAGTATTGAAAGAAAAAAGAATGTAAAGATAAACCGAAATCTTGTGAAGAGGAAGTAAACAGGGGTAGGGAAAATTTCATTAACCTATGTTGGTGGTATATATTAGCTAGTTGTATTTATGTTCTCGTGAAAATGGAAGTTCAAAGAACAGAAAGTAACAGAAAAATGGGATAGCATATTTCTGAAAGTTAGCAAGAAGAGCAAGTAGAGAAGGCTACTTATGAGTGATCACTCAAAGAGCCCCTGAAATGTATTCATCCTTTTATCCTTGTTATATTGCGACCTGTACTTTAATCGTTGCAGTTTAAATCATCACCTTAAGCAAGAATAGTAAGTTTTGAAAACGTAGCACCAATCTACCTTTATATTTCCTTTCGAGATCTGTAAGGAATTCTTCTACTAGCTCAAGATTAATACCCTTCGAGTGGACCTGCAAAGTGAGAAATACTTCACATGAATTTTAAGCAGTCAAATTAATTTTACCATGAGATTACTCTAAAGAAAAATGTTAAATTGAAGTACGAAAAATTGGGACAGATAAGTCAATATTCTGAATTGAAAACTTAAAATGTCTAGCAGAGAAGACGCATAATAATCACCTCAACAAGAGATCTCTTGTACGAAACAAATGACTGCAGAGCTTTTTGACCCCTTTCGGTAGAAAGAATTGCCTGATTAAGAAAAGCAAAAATCACAAATTTAAAAGTGTCACAAGCACATATAAGATATCATTTAATAGTTACATACATACATAATCCTGGCCATTTTTGTTTCTTTTCGGCTTGAGGATACCTTGTCCTCTGCCTTAGTTATTGATTTTTATCAATAAAGTTTTTATCATAAAAAAAAAAAACCACCCAAATGAAATACAGGTCCCGAACAAGACCTATAAGGTTAGCTACAAAAATGTTCAAACTACTACAGAGGTTTTTAAAGTACCTCACACATTACGCTCTGTCAAATAATGTTAAAAGTCATTATTTTATTAAGTACATATGTTGCTCCAGTATTTATCAATATGTATATACACATATTTAAAAGAACTAGCTTGAGGGACGTGCCCCTTTTTCTACCTTAACTTTTTTATTAATAAAAATAAAGAGAAAAGTAGTAATTGATATTGATATTAATATTAATATTAAACCTTAATTGATTATGAATTTATGTTTAAAGATGAATATTAAAGTAAAATTAGTAATAGTATTAACTTATTATTACCAATCAATAAAAATCAATTAAAAAAAATGTACTTTTCATATATTAACATAACATATATTACTCTTAAAGTCCAATTAGTATTGACATATTATTATCAATAAATAAAAATTCATTCACAAATGTAATTTTAATATGTTAACATAATATATTACGCATAGCACTAATATCACAAGTCAAATAATAATATTATTAAAATTCAAAAAGCTAAACAAACAAGTTAAAAAAAGAAAAGGAAATGAAATGAAGCGAAACAAACAAAGTTAAAGTGTGAGGTGTTGATATGAGGCGCGAGAGAATGCATTAGTCATGTGTATAAGTCTTGACCATTGCATTTCAAGTTAAAAATAAATAGATGATGTGGACCATTGGATTACTTGGTTGAAGTACAAAAACTTGCAACTCCATCTTCCCTTCTATATATAATTATAGACATGCAAGATTATATATAATTATAGACATGCAAGATTGTATATCATCATTGGTATGACTTGTTATGAGTTGTATAATCCGTAAGAAACATTTGAGTATGTAGCCTGTTACAATTATTCATATTGGAAAATCACTAATTGATTTTGGTGTAAAATCATAGATTGATATTTGGTTATTCAATAGTTGACATGGTTCGTCACTGACGAATATCAGCTAATCAATGATTGACCAAGTCAATTGACACCAAGTAAATCAGTAATTTACCTGTTAGAAAATCAACATTTCTATTTTTAATTTTACAAAACTAGGGTGGCATTTACTAAAGCCATGCTTTAAAAAGTGTCATTTTTGCACATATTCCAAAGAGAAAAAGGCAACACAATTACGGAGTTGGGTCTGTGGAAAATCCAAACAAAACACCAAAAACTCACCCGAAGAGCTTGAGATGCCATATCTACAATTTTAACATAATCGTCCATCAGGTACTTCATCAAAAGTTTTAAAAGAGCAATCAGGAGACCTTCAGATATTCCAGTATCCATTTGACAACTCACTTCTAGGGTCAATTCACGATTATTAGTTCTACAGGCATCAAGGCTCTCGTAGCTTCCAGGAAGATGGAAGACAACAGAATATGGGTCACCGATACCAACCTGAATTCAAAAGTAAGCAGATTTACTTAGAAAAATGTGGAGAAAAATGCTTGAAAACCTAAAGCCAAAAACAACAAAATTAATTTTTTTTTTAAGAAAAAAGAGTTGCTGACAGTACCCTCGAAATAAAATCAGACACCAATGCTCCAGCAGTTATTCCATCATCTGAGCCACACATGCGTACTAATGTCCAGATAGCGTTTACAATTTCATTGTCAAAATTCCAACCACATCCATTAATGAGATCATCTTTGTCCTTTTCAATCCGAAAATTTTCCTTTGTGCAGAGCTTGAAGACTACAAGAATGTACCAGGCATATAATCCATTTTATAAATCAGCAACGTATGAACTCTTCCAGTAAACAATCAATTTCATTCTTAACTGAGCTTGGATTAGTTTCCTACAGCCTCAAGTTTGACGACGAGTAAAGCTTGATGAATATTTTATTTTTTATGATTTTTATTTTTATTTTTTGTCTTTAAAAAATTTAAAAAAATAAAAATGATGTTAAAAAATAATAAATTTTTGCATATACGAGTTTTATATTTTTCTAGGCATATCAGAAAAAAAATGACCTCTAAAAATAGCAAAAAAAGTAAAACGCTGTCAAAAAGCCTTCAGCTCGCGTCGTGGGGTGCCCATGGGCCAGTTCAAGGGTCGGGATGAGTCAAAAATTTAAAGTTTTATTTATGTTTTGCATTCTAAAATTAATATATGATTTTAGGAATTAAGCTAACAAGCGGCACCATTTTTTGACGAATATTCTATTTTTTAGGATTTTCTTTATTTTTCATTTTTAAAAAATATTATAAAATAAAAACGACGTCAAAAAATAATAAAATTTTACAGATACGATCCTTACATTTTTCTAGGCATGTCAGAAAAAAATGGCCTCAAAAAATGACCAAAAAAAGTAAAACACTGTTAAAAAAGTAAAATGACCAAAATTAGTGGGGCGCCCAAGGGCCAGCTCAGGGGCCGGGATGGGTCAAAAATTTATATTTTTATTTATGTTTTACATTCTAAAATTAATATATGATTTTTAGTGATTAAGACAACAAGCGGCATCATTTTTTTATGAATATTCTATTTTTTGTAATTTTTTATATTTTTCGTCTTTAAAAACTATAATAAAATAAAAACAACGTCAAAAAATAATGAAATTTTATAAACATGATCCTTACATTTTTCTGGGCATGTCAGAAAAAAATGGCCACAAAAAAGACAAAAAAAATAAATCGTTGTCAAAACGCCCTCGGCCCGCGTCTAAGTTGCCTAGGGGCCAGTTCAGGGGCAGAGATGGGTCAAAAATTTACATTTTTATTTATGTTTTACATTTTAAAATTAATATATGATTTTTCATAATTAATGCAACAAGTGGCACCATTTTTTGATTAATATTCTATTTTTTATGATTTTCTTTATTTTAAGTCTTTAAAAATATAATAAAATAAAAACGTCGTCAAAAAATAATGAAATTTTGCAGACACGATTCTTACATTTTTCTAGGTGTGCCAGAGAAAAACGGCCTAAAATGAAAAAAAAAAAGTAAAACACAGTAAAAAAGCCCCGGGCTCGCGTAGTGGGGCGCCCAGGGGCCAACTTAGGGGCCAGAATGGGTCAAAAATTTACATTTTTATTTATGTTTTAAATTCTAAAAGTAATATATGATTTTTAGGAATTAATGCAACAAGCGGCACTATTTTTTGATGAATATTCTATTTTTTATTAGTTTCTTTATTTTTTGTCTTTAAAAAATATAATAAAATAAAAACGATGTCAAAAAATAATCAAATTTTATAGACATGATCCTTACATTTTTCTACACATGCCAAAAAAAATTGCCTCAAAAAATGACAAAAAAGTAAAACGCTGTCAAAAAAACCCTCGGCCCGCGTAGTGGGGTGCCCAGGGGCAAGCTCAAGGGCCAGGATGGGCTAGAATTTCATATTTTTATTTATATTTTACATTCTAAAATTAATATATGATTTTTAGGAATTAATGCAATAAGCTTCACCATTTTTTTTATGAATATTCTATTTTTTATGATTTTCTTTATTTTTCATCCTTAAAAAATATAATAAAATAAAAAAGACGTCAAAAAATAATGAAGTTTTCTAGACATGATCCTTACATTTTTCTAGACATGTCAGAAAAAAATGGCCTCAAAAAATGATAAAAAAAGTAAAACGCTGTCAAAAAGCTCCCGACCCGCGTAGTGGGGCGCCCAGAGGCCAGCTCAGGGGCCGGGGTGGGTCAAAACCCACCTTTTTATTTTTATTTTACATTCTAAAATTAATATATAATTTTTACGAATAATGCAACCAGCGGCACCATTTTTTAATGAATATTCTACTTTTTAGAATTTTCTTTATTTTTCATCTTTAAAAAATATAATAAAATAAAAAACTAAGTAAAAAAAGAATGAAATTTCGCAGACACGATCTTTACATTTTTTTTGGCATGCGAGAAAAAAGTGGCCTCAAAAAATGATAAAAAAAGTAAAACGATGTCAAAAAGCCGCCAGCCCGCGTAGTGGGGCACCCATGAGCTAGCTTAGAGGACGGGATGGGTAAAAAATTTATATTTTTATTTATGTTTAGCATTCTAAAATTAATATATGATTTTTCAGAATTAAGGTAACAAGCAGCACCATTTTTCGATGAATATTCTATTTTTTATGATTTTCTTTATTTTTCATCTTTAAAAAATATAATAAAATAAAAACGACGTCAAAAAATAATGAAATTTTGCAGACACAATCCTTACATTTTTCTAGGTATTCCAAAAAAAAGCATCAAAAAATGACAAAAAAACGTAAAACGTTGTCAAAATGCCCCCGACCCGCGTCGTGGGTGCCTAGGGGCCAGCTCAAGGGCCGAGATGAGTCAAAAATTTATATTTTTAGTAAATATGTTTTACATTCTAAAATTAATATATAATTTTTTGGAATTAATGCAACAAGCGGCACCATTTTTTTGATGAATATTATATTTTTTATGATTTTCTTTATTTTTCATCGTTAAAAAATATAATAAAATAAAAACGACGTCAGAAAATAATGAAATTTTACAGACACGATCATTACATTTTTCTAGGCATGCCAGAAAAAATGTCCTAAAAATGACAAAAAAAGTAAAACGCTGTCAAAAAGCCCCCGGCTCGCATAGTGGGGCGCCCAGGGGCAAGCTCAGGGGCCGGGATGGGTTAAAAATTTACATTTTTATTTATATTTTGCATTCTAAAATTAATATATGATTTTTAGGAATTAATGCAACAAGCGTCGCCATTTTTTGATGAATATTCTATTTTTTATGATTTTTTATTTTTCATCTTTAAAAAATATAATAAAATAAAAACAACGTTAAAAAATAATGAAATTGTGCAGACACGATCCTTACATTTTTCTAGGTATGCCAGAAAAAAATGGCCTCAAAAAATGACAAAAAAAAAGTAGAACGCTGTCAAAAAAACCCCCAGCTCGCGTAGTAGGGCGCCCAGGGGCCAGCTCAGGGGCCGGAATAGGTCAAAAATTTAAATTTTTATTTATGCTTTGCATTCTAAAATTAATATATGATTTTTATGAATTAATGCAACAAGCGGCACTATTTTTTATGAATATTTTATTTTTTAAAATTTTTTTATTTTTCATCTTTAAAAAATATAATAAAATAAAAATAATGAAATTTTACATATACAATTCTTATATTTGTCTACGTATACCAGAAAAAAGAGGAAAGCATACATAGAAACTCTAAGGCCTCGTTCACTTTGCGGATTCGAGTTTTCAATTCGAGCTGAGACATGACATTTTTTTGAGAGCTTTTCACTGTAGTAGAAAAAGTTAGATGTGACATTTTTTAAAAGCTTTTTACTGTAAAAACTTAAAACTAAAAACCCAAATCGGTGAAATGAACGAGGCCTAAAAGAAAAAAAAAATCCTCAAAATACACACAAAAAACAACCCAAATGGCATTTAATGCATTTCACTGTAGTATTCTCTCCACGCGCTCTAAAAGGCGCTTGAGAACTGCTCGTATTGCAATTTTCGGCCATGCAAAATCAAGGCTCAATGTGCTATTTTAATTATTAGATTAATTTTTTAATGCATTGTGGAACAGTTTTATTTAGCGCTCAATAAGTTTTTATGCAGATATTTACACATCTTATTATTAATAAATTAATCTAACAGCTAAAAAATAGTTCCTATTGATGAAGTAAAATAAATTTGTTATCATAAAAATTCCAAAGAAAAAGGCAAATTAATGATAAAACATGCACTTTTCTCTAATGAAGAATTGTACTCCACAAATTAGTCCTGCAGGCTTTTTCAGTTTTGTTAACTTTTACCAGTTTATCTTAATAAATTGTTACATTTATAAAACACCGAAAGCTAATGAAATGGATGTTGTATAAACAGGACTTTGTGGAAAGGAGAAGGGAAAGTTTTGAAAATAGGTTTTTAGCAAATATGAATGCAGTGGGAAGAAGACCCCGAACCGTGCAGCTGGCCAAGCAAGGCCACATTATGATTGGTTGCTCTTAGGGCATAACATACAAGTGTGCTGCATCACTTCATACCGTTGACGCTTCCAAAACGGCACGGGATCATAATCAACATGTAATCTGCATGGGGAAGATCAGCGGCTCAACTGGTTGCTCCTTACCAATTAGGTGAACTTAAGTACAAGCTTTTTTGTATTGGGCGAACCACTTTGTGGATCGATTTATATATTGTTCGTCAACATAATAAGTCGAGGTCTAATTCAATAATAATTAGAGTAGGAATATATCACCTTTTTTTAAATAACAAAAAAAGAGAGAAAGAAAAAAATAGAAGACTGTCATTTTGTTTAAACTCGAATAAAACGTGAAATACTATCAATTGTGTCATAAATAACTACAATTTTCTCCAAAATTACAATATTAATTCAGTTTTTATTTTTTGCTAAGTCAATATTAATTCAGCTTGTGCGTATATAATTACCATATCCAGATCTTCTGTTCAATTTTTTGTGTCTTAATTAGTGTCCAACCAATTAAATTACACCACATCATTCCATAATAAGCTGAAAAGAGTTAGTTAAAAGGCAATTTAATTTTTTACATGATGTGACATGATAATTAGTTAGACACCAAATTAAACACCAATTAGAACACTAAAATTAGACTGGGGATTTGAGTCCATAAGTACCCCTCCAAATAAGAAAGTTAAAATTATGAGAGTTCCAACTCTACAACATAATATTCTAGCAAGAATCTTTTTTTTTTTTTTTTTTTTGAAGCGAGCAAGAACCAATATTTTTGTTACATGCATTAGTGTGTTACAATAATCTGCTTTGGACCAGCAAAAGAAATCATAGAGAATGTCACACCAATACATTTAAAATATTAAATACACAGTTCATATTAAGGGTCCGTTTAGTTTGCTGATTCGAGTTTTTAATTCGAGTTGAGATGTGACTTTATATAAGAGCTTTTTACTGTAATAAAAAAGTTAAATGTGACTGTTTTTTAAAGTTTTTTACTGTAACAAAACTCAAATCGATGAAATGATCGGGGCCTAAAATATCCGTAATAATCAATGATTATTGCCGGTATCCTACGGTAGTATTATTAGGTATCCGCTATCACAATATTGGATCCCACAAAAAGTAGGAGATAGGTTTTCTTTTTATGTTCGCTCTATATAACCGGTTTTTGTTTTAAAGTTGCTATATGTAATTCGGCTAAGAACCTTGTCATGTATCTCCCACTTGTTACGAGTTTTTAAACTCTCTTTTCAACACTTTTGAATTAATGAAGCAAAATATTCAACATTCAGAACAGTACACCGGTAAAGACATAATAAGGAGAAGCGAGAAAAAGGGAGAGTATATTTATAAAATTGAAAGATTTTCCTTCAAAATGACTTGTGTGATGCATATGTCAATCTAGATTGAGCTCACACGTCCCTTTATTTTTCATGTCAATTTCTATTAAAAACAACGGAGTTATAAATTGACGCCTATATATAAAAAAAATAAAAATTCAGTGGTTATTAAAAGATAAATCAAGAGACTAAGTGCCAATAAACAAGAAATTTAGGACATTCGATTAAAAAAAACAAAAGGGAAAGACTAAGGCTGTGTTTGGAGTTGTTTTTGTTTTTATTTTTCACGTTTTTTGAGAAAAAATAAAAACGGAAGAGAAACGACGTTTGACACAATTAAAGACAAAAAATAAAAATAAAAATGATTTTTTGATTTAGTATAAAATGGGAGAGAAATGAAAAACAACTTTTAGCCGTTTTTCATTTTTTGTTTCCGTTTTCTCCTCTCTCGAGTAGAGAGAGAGAGAGAGACATTAATGTCTCTGATTTGATGTCAACCGATGAAAAATGACTAAAAGTCGTGCTTTATTTCTCTTTCATTTTATACTAAATCAAAAAATCATTTTCATTTCTGTTTTTTGTCTTTAATTGTGACAAACGCCGTTTCTCTTTCATTTTTATTTTTTCTCAAAAAACGTAAAAAATAAAAACAAAAACAACTCCAAACACAGCCTTAGAGTTTTCAAATTAGATTTTAATAAAGCAAAATGGATAGAGATAAAAAGTCTAAACAATGTGTCATTATTCTTGGGTGACAATTCCTCGATATCTATTTTGGCTTAATTTCATTGGGTACCAACCGAATAGTACATATTTTACTCACGACTTAGATGATGTATACGTACTTGGACAAAATCCAATCATTTGTGATAATAGGTATATACCATATGGAGTGTAGGGATGTAGGTATATACCATATGGAGAGTAGGAAATTTAACTTACATTACTACAATATAGATTCAAATGTCCTTAGGAAAATGAATAGACGACCTCCAATTTAGTTTGTGCCCCCACTTAATACATATTAGGAGTTTATTTGTAATTTTGTTTTCTTTATTATTATTATTATTATTATTATTATTATTATTATTAGGAACACCATTTTTTTGGAACAGTTCCGCCACTCATGATGAACACGTGGGCATTATGAGGATACCATTTTAATCCGTTATAAAGTTTTTTTTACATGTATGCGCTTCCCAACGCGAATCTATTACGTGTGTTAAGTCTTGGGGATGACATTTTAGTCATCTCGGTGGAATAATCTTTATCTTATTCATTTATAAAAATTCCTTCAGAGGGTAGAATAGTAAAAAATAGTAAAAAACTCTTAGAAAATATTATATCTCAACTCGAATTAAAAACTCGAATTGACAAAGTAAATGAGGCCTTAGTATATGCCATCATAACTGGCTGTGTAGCGTAAAATTCTTGTGGTGAGTCATAACCGCTAATATTTTGTGAACCAAGTCGTTTTTAAGCTTGCCAATAAACGATAACATGAGTATTAGGAGACGTTTGGTTCATGGATTAGAATCATAAGATTAGAACCATTTTTAATTTACATGTGTTTTTTGTGAGATAAAATATTGTAACGAATCATGAATCATAATTCAAATCGGGGTACGAATCCCACAACTAAACAACCCCTTATTATCTCGAAGGATTACTAGATCTGTCATGATTTTTTTTTATAAGCACATGTATTCTTGCATGAACATCTATTTTGAAAAATGCAATTTACATTAGTCAAAATATAACTAACAAGAAGAAGTTTACCATTTTTTTATTATTGTATTCTTTCAAGCAATAATATATATAATGGTTCTTTTTAAAATTCAATAAAGTTACTTAATATTTTAAGTTCAATAAATATTAAAATATTATATATTTAGTTAAATAAAAGAGTATAATTGGAGTTGTTCACTTAAAAATTGTTAACTAAAATAACTTTCTAGCTAAAATTTAGTTAGAATTTGGAGAGTTCTTGTGGAGATGCTCTAAAAAGTTATTTTAACTAGCAAGTTTTAGATGATCTGCTCCAACCATACTTTCTACTTTAGATAAACATACATTAGTTAAATATTTTTTTAATCTAAAATATAAATAATTTTATTGAATCTAAAAGAAACCTTCGTAGTTATTACGATTTGAAAGAATAAAATAATAAAAAAACTAAAGGACTCGCAATTTCTTACTAGTTATATTTAGCTATGCGAAATGTATTTTTCAAAATAACTAACCATTTAGTAGTTATTACGATTTGAAAGAATAAAATAATAAAAAAATTAAAGGACTCGTAATTTCTTACTAGTTATATTTAGCTATGCGAAATGTATTTTTCAAAATAACTAACCATTTAGTTAATGACCGGAGAGAAAAAAAAAACAAAACAAAAGTTAAAATGATTAACCATTTTGACTATATCACGGCAGAGTGAGCATGAAAGGCATTCTACCGGTGCAGAAACTGCCGCAGGAACCGATGATGGACATAGCTAGTAGAGATGAGGCCCCCCCTCAACATTTTTTTAACCTATATTTGTTGAAATAGCTTTTGAAAGTATGTATTTCTTTCATTTTGACTCCTCAACATTTACTTTTCAAGGTCTAATTATGTTACGATTTATGAAAATATACAACTTATTAACTAATTGACTATGAAAAGAATGAAAGAAACTAATCACGATAAAAGTCAGAATTGATCAAGTAAGAAGAGAGAGCGCGCCAGAATCGTGAAGTGAGTTAGTCAAAGGTGACGCTAGGCTCGCAATATCCATTGATGGCGTTTCTGATGTATGGCCAGAAGAGAGATAGTCGACAGAGAGAGAGAAAGGGGTGGTGAGAGAGAAAGAATTATGAGAAAATAAAGAGAAAAAGAAAAGATAAAAGATTATAAAAAGGGTAAATTTTGTAAATGAAATATTTAAAATCGAAAATGGTCTATTTATTATAATTTCTAAAGAAAGGGTAAATCATCGAAAAAGAAAACAGTGAAACACTGGTGTAAAAGATGTGGTAGACGAATAGAGTTAAAAGTGAAAAAGAAAAAAATGAAAGAATGAAATTAGAAAGAAAGAAGAGAAAGAGAAATTTTTTTTATAAAAAAAAAAAAGAAGTTTTATGGTAAAATAAGCATTTTTGCTCCACCATAAAAAATGCTATTTTTAATTATTAAATTAAATTTTTAACGATTAAAAATATAAATATTCACATTAAAAAGATTAGAAGTGTTCTTACTTTAAATCAAATTCTTGAAAAACTGAGCCCGTTTAGTTCGCTGATTTGAGTTTTTAATTCGAGTTGAGATGTGATTTTATGTGAGAGCTTTTTACTGTAACAGAAAAGTTAGATGTGATTGTTTGTGAGAGCTTTTTACTGTAACAAAACTCGAATTCTAAACTCGAATCAGCGAAATGAACAGGGCCTTAATATAACAACTAAAACACAGTTCTACCAATGAATCACAAATACTGAAATACATGTCCACTAAAGTTTTAACTTGAACAAAAAAAAAAAAAAAAAAAAAAAAAACTAATAGGGCGACTAATGGTAGTGTGATAAGGGAATGGGTTCATATATCTTTTTTTGTCTCTTTAATAATAATAATATGTCATGTTATAATTTTTTAATTAATGTAATAAAATTTTTTTAATTAAAATAATATTTTAATTAACGCATGAGGACATGAAAGAGAACAAAAATAAGAGTACACGACAGTTGTTCCGTGGGATAGCATACAGGAGTTGGTTCCGTGTGATAGGATAGTGGGAAAGTTTTATGCAAATGACGTCAGCAAAATAATATGTCGTTTGAGGAATAAGGTGTCGTTTTAAGCAAAACTTATTGAACGCAAAACGATATCACAACTTTTTCATTGAGAAATTCAGGTCGCTGAGCTCGTCACGGTCTTCCATGGCGACCAAAAGTCTGCTCTGTGTTCAAATGTTGCTACTAACGTCGATAGTCTTCGTGGTAATAACATCAAAAATACCCAAAAGAGAGTTTCTTATGTTTGCCCCTTCTTTGGCCGTGAGAAAACGGAAGAAATTTCCGATATTTACAAACCAGTTACTTATCATCGAATACCCAGTTTTTTTTCCTTTCATCAGAGCAAGCAAACAGTTTATTGTCTAATGATGATGAATCTTATTGTCGTTTATGGGGTAATGTTGGGCAGGTGCTAGGGCATGAAGCAGTGAAATCAGAGCAGTACCCATTGGTAGTAAGCACATGGCCATTCGTAGAGGCTGTTAGAGCTGCTTGGAGGGCTGTTGATGCTGGGTTTTCTTCTGTTGATGCTGTCATTGAAGGATGTTCTGCTTGTGAAGAACTCAGGTGCGATGGCACAGGTCAGAGAAGTGCTTCAATCTTTTTTTTTTTTTTGTTAGATTAAAGGTTTTTTTTTTTTTTTAATTTTACTAGAATTTTAATGTCTTTATTGAATTATCATCTGGGTTTTCATTTTTCCCCAGATTATAAACTTTAAGCTGCCGCCTTGCTTATGCATGTTGTTTATCTTATTGAAATATTATGAAAACCAGGAAGTACTTGAAGCTTGTGGCCCTTTTCAGATGAGAAACTTGTAATGTCTGTGACTTCAAATGTCCAACTTTAAAAGTGAATGCTTAAACAAATATTGAAAGAGTAACTTCATAGTTCTAATTTCTACTATATTTTGCTGAGAATTTTGTGGCAGGGTATTTTCATACTCTACGAGTCGGACACAATTTTAACTGTCAAATACATATAAAGTATACCATATTAGTTATTAAGAAAAGTAGGATAATTAACGAAACTTGATGAAGATTTGACGGTTCAAAACTGTTGTCTACCAATAGAGTACATTTTCATACACTGTCATAGGATGCTCCTAATTTTGTAGCCTTCTTTAGTTTGCAAGGGCATTAATAGAATGACAAGTTACCATATTAACATGGCTTGACACTAAAACAGTTGGGCCTGGTGGGAGTCCAGATGAGAATGGAGAAACTACAATTGATGCTCTGGTCATGGATGGGGTAACCACCTCTTATTCGTTCTCCTTTTGTTACAGCTTCTCCTGTTATTCTTGTATGTTGTATAGTTTACTCTGTGAATGATGTTTATCCTGTGTTTTTCTAAGGACATCCATAGGCAACAATGGAGGTCGGAGCTGTTGCTGCTATGAGGTACGTGAAGGATGGAATTAGAGCTGCTAGATTAGTTATGCAACATACTAAACACACTTTGCTTGTTGGAGAGAAAGCATCGGCATTTGCTATTTCAATGGGACTTCCAGGACCAACTAACCTTAGCTCGACAGAATCTATGGAGAAGTGGACCAAATGGAAACAAAATCACTGCCAACCAAATTTTTGGAAAAACGTTATACCTGTTAACAGTTGTGGCCCTTATCATGGGAAGGATTCCCTGAAACTCAGTGACAGAACATGTTCCGAAGACTCTCTTTTAGGAAATATTGAATCAAGTTCGTCTCATTTTAGTGTTAACAATCACGATACCATTTCAATGGCAGTTATTGATAAAGTAAGTCGATGATCATAGAATATAATGTGGATCACATAATGTTGTTTGTTTAAGTATCACACTTCAATCAACTTATGTTTTCTTGAGTAGGGGGGACATATTGCTGTTGGTACATCAACTAATGGAGCTACATTTAAGATTCCAGGGAGGTAGGTTATCGCCATCCTGAACTCTTGGAAACACCATTATAGCTTCTTTTTATTCAAAGAACTCAAATTTTGGTTGTCTTTCTTGTTGATGATGCCATTGAATTTTGTCATTTTATTGTTTATGTGGAATCTAGTTTTGCCTCTCTAAAATGTGCTTGCAATAGATATGCAATTGCATAAAACTTTCAGCCGGCTCCCCTTTTGATCTAACTGTTTTGTGCAATTCATGAATCACAATGACATTAAAATGACAAAGTTAATTATGAGGCAACACAATTCTTACCCATCCCTCCTGACAAGTCATTGAAGAAATGCTTTCCGTAATGCAGGGTGGGTGATGGACCGATTGTGGGATCTTCAGCATATGCCGATGATGAAGTTGGTGCCTGTGGAGCGACCGGGGATGGTGACATTATGATGCGTTTCCTTCCATGGTAATCCAAGGGAGAAACAAAAATACTTCTTTCTCCTGTTTTGAAACCACTATTTTGAATCTCAAAATGGACTTCATGTATTTTCAGTTATCAAGTTGTGGAGAGTATGAGATTGGGGATGGAACCTAAGCTCGCAGCCAAGGATGCAATATCACGAATTGCAAGAAAATTTCCGGACTTTGTCGGAGCTGTCTTTGCTGTCAATAAGAATGGTGAGCATGCCGGTGCTTGCTATGGATGGACATTCCAATACTCAGTGAGAAGGCCACTTATGGATGATGTGAAGGTTGTAACTGTGCATCCCCACAGTTTGCCTTAATAGAGTTTTACATGGAACTTGCCACAAAAATAATTGCTTGTTTGGAACTTTTTGTTTAAAGAATATTAACTTTTGCATTCAAGAGCTGCATTAAGGATGTAATTTGTATAGATCTTCTGTTGAAGTTGGAGGCTTATTGTTTCCTAGCTGCTGCCTGAAAACATGAGATACTTTCTAGAGTTTTACCCCCAAAAAAAAAAAAAAAGAAGAAAGAAAGCCTATCTTCGTTGAACTTAGAGGCCAACGAAACTTAATTTTGAAACGACATGTCGACCACGTCGTTTTGTTTTGTTTTATCCTTTTTATCGTAAGAAATATTAATAATAAAGAAAAATAGTTAGGCAGACACATATTTAAAATTATTTAAATAAGAGCATATTAAGATTATTTAAATAAGAGCATATTAAGGGATAGAGTTTAATTAGGCACAATTAGAAAACACAAGATTTAAAATGAACAAAATAATAAAGTGATCAAAATGCACGTTTTAAATTAGACAAAAGTGTTTCAATAAGTCATGGTTATAAACATAAGATCTTTTTTAAAAAGAGACAAATGAAACATTTTGTATGTTTCACTTTATGTTCCGTCTATGCCTATTCAAAAACTCATTCACACTTAGTGAATGAAATAGAAAAAAAAGAGAAGAATGTAAAAAAAGTTTAAAAATATAAAAAGAGAAAGAAAAATAGAGAAAAATACTAAAAATAAAAAAGAGACAGAGGAGGCCAACATGTGACTTCCATAGAGGCCAACACATGGCCTCTTTACAAGCCAACTCTTTGGGTTTTTTAAGTATATTAGTTTTGTAACGCGCATTGCACGTATTGCCGTGTTATAGACACCTAAAGAGTTTATTATTTATTGAATAATGATAAATTCATTTATACAACATTTAAGAATTTTTGAATTTATTTTAAAAAGAAATATGTATAAAGATAATAATTGACAAAAAAATTAAGTAGGGATATATTTGAAGAGAATTATTCTAATCATTGGCAAAAAATAAAATAAGAACACATGCGAAAGAAGTTAATTTCATAGGAGTAAAGTGCAAAAAAAAAAAAATTTAAAAAATCACATAAAAATTAAAATGTATTAAAACATTCACAAAATAAAAAAAAATAAAGATAAAAAAGTAAAAAAAAAGAGAGAAAAATAGGAGGTAAACGGAGGGACTGAGAAATGACAGCCTCATAAAAAAGAGTTTTGACTCTTTTATGTTTGTTAGATAGATTGGATTAAATTAGATTTGATTAAATGTTATATTAGATTAGATAAATAAAAATAAAAGTTAAAGTAGTAAAAAAAAGAAAGAAAGAAGGAAAGAGGAAAGGCCGCCTCATGACAGCCTAAAGAAATAGTACAATTAAAGAGTCTTTGTCTCTTTTATGTATTGTTAGATATAGATGAATAGATTAAAATGGTACTATCTAGCTTATGAAAATATCATTTTACCCTTTTACGTTTTAGCTCCTATATGTTGGATTAGGCTTAGGCCCAAAACTAGCAAAGCCCAAAGCCTATGATTCAAGTCCACAAAATTGTGTGAACTAGATTTAGTCAAGTGACTAAATGGTGGCCAAGTAAAATGAATGACCACAAATTGGTCAATTCTTAGTCACAAGTTTTTCGTGGCCACAGTTCGTTCTTGAAGCTTATATAGGGGGTTTGGAAGGACTTAAGCATTCTATTCCCACCTTTCAGAGAGAATTCTCATAATGTGAGAGAAATTTAGTTGTCTAGTTTTTCTTCTTTTGTGAGGTGTTTCTCTTATTTATATGAGATGGTTGTTATTATTGTTCTTTCTGTGTAATTTAGAGAGACAGTTGTAATCCTTATATTTTGTAGTAAAATCCGTCTACACTTGTCCCGTAGTTTTTATCTCGTCTCTTTTGGGGGCTTTCCACGTAAAATATATGTGTCCATTTTATGTTCATTTTTAATCATTTCTTATTTTACCGCCACATTTGTCAACAAGTGGTATAAGAGCAATCCAGGTGAAGTTACTGTTCAAGACGAAGTTATTGTTCAAGTATACAATACTATTAACGTATACGGTATTATTCACAATGTGGAAAAGTACGACATAAGTAGGTTTTGTGTAGGAGGCTGGAACTTAAGTAGTCCGCCTGAGACCTTCCACGCCTTTTATGGGAACTTGCTCAGTAAGGTGATTTTGTCTAGGAGACTGTACATATCTATCCTTTATTGATAGAACTTGTGTATTCATTTACAGTCTTTCTTATTACCTGATCGGTACAATTACGTACGGGAACTGTTCACAACTATAGTGAATGTGACGACCCTCCTTTGAGGCCGCCACTGTTACTAACTTTTTAACTTGTACTTACTGGGGTTTCTTAAAATTTGCGGAACATTTTTTTTTTAATATAAGAAAGAATACTTTCATAATTTGTAATAATAATTTCAAATAAGTGAATCACTAAATTTCTTAAAGCTTTTCTTAATTTCAGTTAAGATAAAACGTTCTAAAAATATCTTTCAAACAGAGCAGCATTTGAACTCTTATTTCAAATGCTCTTTAAAAGCCTTTCTAAAACTAGCCAATTCAATCGGGCCATTTAATTTTGACTTTAAAACGGATTTCGTGAGAAATCTTAAATCCAAGTACATCTTAAAGCCCTTTTAAAATCAATCGTTTAAATCGTCATGTTTAAAATTTGTTCATTTGTTGCATGCTCTGTTGCAACGTTCTAAAACTTAAATACTCAAAACGAGGGTTGTTAGCTACAACCTCGGTTTTCTTAACATACATATGTACCTATACTTTTTAAACATACATGCTTGAAACCTTTAAATCATATATACATATACATGATTTTTCTTAAACTT